CCTGTTTAAAACAAAACAAAACAAACAAAAAAAAAACACCAAATGTAGCCCTCCGGCCCTGAGGTTTGGAATCTCATCTTTCCAGTCTCCCTGAAATACTGTGAGTGAAACAGCAGATCAAAGTCCGCTTTTTATAAATATTTAAATAATGTCACAACTAGTAACACCAATCTGGATAATTATTTAAAGACATTACGTATTACAAACCAGAAATCAAGTTTTTAAAATGATGCATCAGTTTAATTATCTTGGGAACTATCATGGGAAAGGAATACAGTTTGACCTTGGAGGTCCGGGTGTTTTGTATGGCTTCACCAACAGTCAGAAAGCTTCATTTTAACCTTAAATGAAACATTACATTTAACAACGCTTTCATGCCTGAGATCCAGCTGGAGAAATTCATTTTGGAAAGCTATTTAACACTATTAGGCACATGAATCTGTGAAACAATATGAAACAATGGCAATAAAATAGTAAGAAGTAAGTGGAAGCTAAAATCAGGGGGAACAGTCAGTGCAAAAGGTGTCCTTCTGTCTTCATGATCAGATATTTCGGCTGAAGATACAAAGAGAAAAATAAACGTTTCCCTCAAGAACTATCCCTTTGTTTTGTGCAGTGGTTTTCATTTGTGTACAGTAAGATGATAGAGAATAAATTATGGAGATGGAACCAACTGTAGGAACAGAAGGAAACCAGTCTGTAGCTCTGAAATCTTGTGTGAGTCCATCGGTGTGGTCAGCAGGTATTTTACAAACACTCAGGAAATCTGTTATGATCGTCAAACAGAAGACCAAGAGAGAAGTTTGTATTTGTCCAGAAATCTGGGGGAACAAAGGGAAATGAAATCCAGAGTCTTCCTTAGCCTGGTTTAGTACCAGGTGCCACCTAGCCCCACCCACTTGCACATCCCATTGCTGGGCTCACCCCCACCGTTTGGAAATACCATCAATTGACCCAGTTTCAAGACTTTAAAAAAGCTTCATCATTATGTAACCACTGTTGGCCCTCATAGCCTGGCTGTACGTTGGACGATTGTTTCTACCAGGTATGGTGCTCGGCAGATGAAAAAAGAATGGCAGCAGGAACTATGAAATGCCTTATCACAGTGGACCTCAACCTTCGCTGCACAGGGTCATCACCTGGGAGCTCTGCGAATGCTGGAGCCTGGACTTGTCCCAACGCCCCCCCACCCCCACTCCACCAGAGTTGCTGATTTCGTTGGTCTGGGAGCATCAGAGACATCAGGATTTTTTTCTTTTTCTTTTAAAACAATTATAGATTCATAGGAGGTTGCAAAGTTTTCTCTAATGGTTACATCTTACATAACTATAGTTACAATATCAAAACCAGGAAGCTGGCGTTGATGCAATGTGTGTGCATAATGCCATGCCATTTTATCACATGTGTAGATTGCATAACCACCACTGCAATTAAGATACAAAACTATTTCATCATCACAAAGATTACCTTTGTACCCCTTTTGGTATCAACTACCCCCTTTCTCCCTGCCACTCTGACAAAAGACTAATCTGCTCTCCATCTCTTTACTTCCATCATTTCGAGAATGTTGTATTAATGGAATTATATAGTAGGTAACCTTTGAAAGTGGCTTTTTCACACAGCATAATACTCTTGAGACCTATCCAAGTTGTGCGTATCAATAGTTCATTCCTTTTTGTTGCTAGGTAGTATTTCATTATATGGATGTAACACAATGTGTTTACTAGTCACCTATTATAGGACATTTTGGTGGTTTACAGTTTGGAGCTATTATAGATAAAGCCACCATGAACATTTGGTTAAAGGTTTCTGTGTGAACATAAGTTTCCATTTCTCCGGGACAAATGCCAGCAGCACAATTGCTAGGTTGTGTGTTAAGTATATGCTTAGTTTTTTAGAACCTGCCAAACTGCTTTTCCAAAGTAGCTGTTCCTTTTTACATCCCCACCGGTGATGCAAGAGTGATCCAGTCTCTCTACATTCCTGCCAGCATTTGGTATTACCATTATGTTTTATTTTAGCCATTGTGACAGGTGTATAGTGATACCTCACTGTAGTTTAATTTTCATTTCCTTCACGGCTAGTGATGTTGAATATCTTTGTATGTGCTTATTTGCCATCTGTATATCCTCTTCAGTGCAATGTCTTACATCTTTTGCTCATTTTTTAATTGGGTTTGAACGTGAGGATGGGGACATATTTAAAAGTTCCCTAGATGTTTCTAATATGCAGTTAAATTTGGGATGCACTACTTTTTTATAAACTCTCTGTGGTATACTCTAAACTGAAGCTGTTGAACCTGGGATAACATTAAAATAAGGCCTCTATGGTCAGGACTGACAGATTAAACATGCCTGCAGTCCAAGGGAAGGGAGCTGGAAGTGCTTTCCAGGAGCTCGGGCAGCTCGCATATGCTCACCCCAGGGCTGGAAGGGCGTCTGAGACCTCCAGAGGATAATTCTGGAGATGTAGACAAAATACCTTCTGCCTCAGGATCGTGGTGTGCATGTCCTGTGCATGCATACACATGTACACATGTGTGTAAAATGTTGATTCCTGGGTCCCAAACCCCAGACCCACAGAATCAGAACTTTTGGGAATGGGGCCTAGCAATCTGCATGTATAGATTCCTACACGGTCAAAGATTTGAGACTCACCTTACTCAGGGAAGATTAGGGACCCAACTTTCCACTGCTACAGCTTTAGGGCACAGGTAGATGCCATTCTGTTGAGAAATTGGCTTCAAGAAGAATTCTCTTGAGCCGATTTGGGCACAGAAGCTTGTGTTCTCCATCAGAGACATGGGGACCAGAGAGATCTAGGATTGTGTGTTCGCATGCCTCCGACTGGTATTCCAGAAGCAGTTCTCACATATAATCACACCTCTGTGTCGAGAAGTAATCATTTGTAGTAATCAACAATGTTAATAACGATTAACATTTATGGAGCGCTAATTATGTGCTAAGCTTCTCCCACATGCTAGCTCCCTTAATTCTTATAGTAACTTAGAGGTTATTGTGTTTCCTATTTTGTAGAAGAGGAAACTGAGGTTCAGAGAGGTCTGGTCATTTGCCCAAAGTCACAAAGCTCACAGATGACAGAACTGTTTCTCCTTCTGGAATTCCCTCTTATTTTTGTCCTTGGTTGTCCCAAACTCCAGTTTTTATTTTTTTTTTTCAGACCTACTTGAACCTCATTGAAAAAAAAGTGATAAAAATTTAGAAGTATATTTACAGAGCTCTGAGTAGCCTAATGGGTCACCATTGTGTAGCTGGAATAAATGCTACACGGAAGTTGCACTTCTAATGATTTCTCTGGTGCTGCACTGCAGTGTGAACTGTGAACGTCAGGCTGGTTCTGAACGGAGAGAGTGAAGCCCTCGGGAGCAGAGAAGTGATAAACTACTCTACAGAGTTAGAGATTATTTCCATCCTGCTACCCAGGAACCAGTAATTATGGGAGACTAAGCCGCACCCTTTAAACACACACGTGTGGCCCTGGCCGCACCGACGCAGCCACCTGGTTCAGGTGAAAGCTCTTTTGTTTTCTGGCTGACATCCTGCAGCATCTTGGATGATTGCCTCTGAGTTGCGTTGACATAATTGATGTTTTCCCATCTCACTGTTCATAATTCCTGGTGCCTCGTCATTTTATGCCTTTGAGCCTCGGGTGGGTAGAGAGCCATGGCCATGTAGGTAGGTTGAAATGGTTTCCTCCTTTCCCTTCCCAGGTTCTAAGCCCAAGGCTTCATGCAAGACCTTTGGGAATCAGAATGGAAAGAAAGCAGAGCCTGAAGGCAAAGCCTAAGGTGTAAGCCTCTGTTCCAGAAGGGAAGAGTCAGGGGAGAGGAAGTGAGTCAGGGAGGATGTGGAAGCAAATGCAGGTGGAGATAAGACCAGGCTGGCCACGTGCCACCAAAACCCAGTTTCCTCAGGAACCTGGATCTGGGCTGCAGAGCCTCTGCTGCTCCTGTGATGGGCACAGCGGCTGCTGTGCCAGAGCTGGCCTCCACCCTGCCCCTTGGGGAGGCTGCCTCTGTAGACAGTGGCAGAGAGCAGGCCACAGTGTGAAGCTAGCAGCTGGTCCCGGCAGGTAGAAGGGTCCCAGCAAATCTGGGGAGGCACAGAACTCAGGTCCAATGCAATACTCTTTCCAATTTTAATGCAGCATTTGAGCATCAGGTTTTTGGTTGCAAGCTGCAGGACTCTAGCGCCTAGATTTCTTAAGCCAGAAAGGAGTTTACTGGGTGTACAATTAAGAGCTTTCAGAGACTGGAGTGTGAGTCTCACAGAGCAGGCAGTGAGAGCGGTAGCACTAGTTGGCCAAAACAGTGGCCCCCGTCTCCCTGCCCTGGTGGCAGCCCCCTCCTTCTATCCCATGGCCCAACATCACTGCCTCTCCTGAGACTATACACCACCAGCCACGCCTCCAAAATACTAGAGGGGGGTGATGCTTGTAGTGGCTTGAACTGTATTCCCCCACCC